AGGACTCAGGGAGGAGGTCCTAGGAGGAGGATGAAGAACCTGCTCTCGGGGAAATGAAAGTGCTGCCAAGGGAGGCTGTCTCTGCCTCCCTTTTTCAGCTGAAAAGCCTGTGGGGCTCCTGTTGATTTGATCACATTACCTTATTGGGGTCAACCTGGGGCCATTTGGAGGGGCCATGTGTTGTATGGGATAGAGAGCCGCCCCTGGCTTACTCCCTCACCCCCTATTTCATGGGGCAGGACAGCCCTCATCCAAGGACCATCATCTCCTGGATGGGACGGGCTGAAGGGCTGACCAACCCCCAGGAGTTCAGGGGAGAGATAGCAGGAACAGGCGATCACGACTCTCCACGCTCAACCTGGCCTCTCCACAATCGTCTCCCTCTGAACAGATGCATTTTCTTCTGCCTGGGTGGGTGTGAGGTGCGGAAAGCTGCCTGACTCCTGCTCTCACCCCGTCTCCCTGCACCGCTGCCTGGGGAGTTTCCTTTCTCCCTGGGTTGAGATGGGTTCTGAGAAGCCTGAATACAGGCACTCAGTTTTATGACTGATGGGAAAGCGTGGGGAGGCATATTAGGGAGTTTGAGGGGTGGGGGCTGAGACTCTGGAATGTAATTATAAGACTAGCCTGTTTACCCCCACCTTCCTCACACCAGGCAATGAACATGTGCTGTCTCTCATCCTCACAATAGCCCTGCCAGACAGGAGTCATTCCCATGTTATGGGTGAGGAATGAGAGCACAGAGAAGTTATTCTCTGCCCAGGGTTTCACAGGACAGAGTCGGAGAACTAAGTCAGTACTGTGCAGCTTGTGCGGCTGGGCCCTACACAGCGCCTCTAGCTGAGGGGCTCTCAGGGGTGGTGTTTATGGCAAGGTAGGCATGCTAACCAGAGGCCTCTGCCCGAGTCCTGAGGCCCTGTTACCTGAGGTTCAAGGCCCAAACAGTCCAAGCCAGCCCCATGTTGGGGGGCGCTGCGCCCAGGGCCGGAGCCAAACCAGTCTGTGCCTGCGACCTGGGAAGGGGCTCGAAGCCCATAAACGCCATTAACAGTGGGGAGAGGACGGAGCTGCGGAGAAGGCTCTGACCTCTGGGGAAAGGGTCGTGCTTCGGAATGGCTTTGCCCCGTGTCCTCCTGATTCACCAGCTCTCTCCCTCAAGCCCTTCTGCTTTCTCGCGCCTGGGCGTCGCCACACCCCGACTGCCCCAGCCTCGGTGGGGTTCCCAGGGGCGCGGTATTGCCAGTTGTGTCAGCACGCACCAGTCCCTGCTGGACTCCCCATCTCCCGAAGGTGTTCGGTAAGACGCGGTGCCTTTTTCCGTGGCTTCGGGTGTGTAAGCTCTTCCTAAACCTCCCCAGGGACCCGCAAGGTCATCACACACCCCACTACGCGGGACAAACACCGTCATCTGGCTGCCCTATAAAATCACCAAACGTGGCGAGGAAGATACAGAAAGTACTCCCCACTTGGTACCTCAAGGCGTGACTCTCCCAGAACTCCCTGCAACTCCTTCAAGTCAAAGTCGGGCAAGGCTGAAGGAGTTACACAGAAAAAAGAGGGCGCGAAAGGGGCACGGCGCCGCTGGGCTGGAGGCGGGTGCCGAGCAGCCCCTTTGTCCTGTAGAGGGAGCTCCAGCCCCAAATTTCCCGGCTCCCTCCTCGGGCCCGCCTACCCCCATCCGGCCTAGAGCTGGAAGCCCAGCTGGATCCGGGCAAGTGGCCGAACCTGCAGCGCGGGGACATCAGAATAGCTACCCTTCCAGGTCACTTGGGGAAAACCCACTGGCGAGAGAAGACGCAAGAGATGCCCCCAGCTCTCGATTCAGCCTGGGCATGGTCACCAAGAGGAAAGGAGGTGCACCGCCGTCCTCCATACCCCACCCCACCCCCACACCTTTGCATCCGGAAGGTGGAGTATAGGGGTGCAATGTGTTTGAAAGGGGTTTTGAAGCTGAGCTTGCACAGCCCCTTATGTAAGGCTGAGGAAACCTCCATTGCGCCAAACTAGGAATGCGGGTGCGGAAATGATAACGTCCGAACATAATCCTCTACTTCCAGACCCTTCTCTAAGTCTTTCTATGTCACTAGAGAAGGCCCCCCGACCCCGCGGTTGTTCCAGTGGACAGGCGGGCTGGGCCCAGTTTCCCACCTGTCTCTGCCCTTTCTCTTGGGCGCCCCTGGTACTTCTCCAACCGCCTCTTCTCCAGCCGCGCACCCAGCCCTGCTGCGTCTGCGTTTCCTCCGCCTCTGCTCTCCCAGGACCACTGGATCCTGACTTCTCTCTCGTTCCTTTCCGCTGATTCCGGCGACTCTTCAAACACGGGGTGGGGGGATAAAACAAAACAAAACCCACCAAACATATCCGTCCGGGGGTGGGGGTGGGGGGCAGACAGGTGGGTTATAGTCAAAGTGGCAACAGCTCATTTATTTAGCCAAAAATAGATACTTTCTTGTACAATTTGGTTCACACATATGTACATTTCTCTGTATATACAAAAAAGTCAGACGCGCTTATTCTTATTGAAAACTCCACCCCCCAAATCAACCGAACCAACCAACCTCACAAACTCAGCTAATGTGGGGGTATAGAAGCCACTTGGGGAGAACTGAGGGGGACTTGTTTTATTTCTTTTTTTTGTTCAGGTTTCTTTTTTCGGTATTCATACACGGACATGCTTACAACTATACAGAGCTATATGTTTGTTTTTACAATTATTACAACGATTTAAAAATTTCTTAAAAAAACAACTAGGATGAGGAGAGCGCGGATAAGACCAGGGCGGCGTCCAGGTGGTTCTGGGGCCTGGAAGAGAGAGGCAGTGGTAGGAAAGGAAGTGAGAGGCAGAGGCACTGGCGCTGCTGGGACTGGGAGACCCAACCTCGGGCTGAGGCCGGGGGCAGGGAGGTGTCCCAAGGTAAAAGGATGCCCAGCTGTACAGGTTGGTCTTCCGGTTTAACTCTGAGATGGGCGGGAGGCGTCAGGACCCGGGAAGGCAGGCTTCCCAGAGCCCCTCCAGGCTCGGGGTCTCACACCGCGGTACTCTGGGCCACGCCCGGGTGCCTGGACCGGGACTGTCGTGCTGTCTCTGGGCCCTCGGGGACGACAGAATGGGTCTGTCCCCTTTTAAAAGCGTGTCCCAGCCGCGATCCCTCAAGGGCAAAAGCCCGCGTTCTTTCCTTTCCCCGCTTGCCCGCTCCCCCTGTCCCCCCACCTCGGGGTCTCTTACCGCCTGGGCACGGGCTGGAAAGCTGTCTTGAGTAACTTTTTCTCCACTTCCAAGGCACTACAGCGATCTAAAGGAAGCGGGGAAGAAAAAGGAGGGCCCTTAGCGAGCTCCATTCGGGCACTCAGGGCCGCGGGGAGCAGGAGCGGGGTGGGAAGCGCTCCGCGCCGCAGGGGTCCTGCCCATCTCCGTTCGCTCCGGCGAGAACCCCAGAGCCCGCCCCCACCTCCGCATCCTGCGTTCGCCAGTCACCTGTTCCGCCCTCCGGCTCCGCCGGCCGAGCGAAGGCGGCCGCATGACCCGCGGCTCCGGGAAGTCCCAGCAGGTGTGGAGGGGCCGAGCCGAGCAGAGAGAGCGGGTGCGGACGTGGGCCTGGTGGCGGGCCTGGGAACGGCCGGTTGCTCCAGGCCGGGAACTTGCTCAACGGCGCAGAGACGAGTCTGTGAGCCGCAGCGGCAGCGGCCGCCGGGGAGAGCTGCAGCGCTGGGGGCGCGACGGCTGCCCCGGGGGGAGAACCCCCCGCGCCCGGAGGCGAGCGGCGCGGGTTGTCGGGACTTGTGGCCGTCTCGGCCAGCGACCAGATCTTGGGCTTCTGCAGGGCGGAGGCAGGAGCTGGTACGGGAGCGCAGGGATCCAGGCCCGCGGGGGGTGAGGGCGGAGATGGCGGAGCCAAAGCCACCGGCGGTGGCGCCGGGGCCAGACTCAGGACTCGCAGTGGACGCTCCTCCAAGCCTTCGGAGCTGTCGTCCGAGTCGCTGTTTTTGGAGTCCGAAATGGGTCCCAGGCCGAGGTCACCGTCCCTGTGTGCCGCGCCAGCCAGGGTCAACTCAGGCCCCGCGGTCGCGCCGTCTAAGTTCTCCAAATCGATCTCCTCGTCCTCGTCTTCTAGGCCCTCGCCCCCCGTGTCTTCCTCCTCCCCCCCGAGCTCCTCCTCCTCTAGCTCCAGTTCGCGTTTGCTGTCTTCGTCCTCCTCCTCGTCCTCCTCCTCCCGCTCACTCCCGTAAGCGTTGCCCTCCTCATCCGTGCGGCTGCGGGGCGCCCACGTCATCTTGTTCTCCTTCTTGAGGCGCCGGCGCGCGTTGGCGAACCAGGTGGACACCTGGGTGAGGGTCATCTTGGTGATGATGGCCAGCATGATCTTCTCGCCCTTGGTGGGGTAGGGGTTCTTGCGATGCTCGTTGAGCCAGGCCTTGAGCGTGCTAGTGCTCTCCCGGGTGGCGTTCTTGGGACGGGACGGGTCCCCGAACTGGTACTGGCCATAAGGGTAGAAGGCGGGGTGCGGGTGCGGAAACGCGGCGGCCGCGGCCGGATGCTGCACCCCGGGGCTGTCCTTCAGCTCATACTGCGCGCCCTGTACGCACATGGAGAAGGAAGGGTCACGCGCGGAGGGAGCGTGGATGAGCCCTAGCCGTCGCTGCCTCCACGCTCCCCGCCAGGACCCCGCTAGTCCACTTCCGCGCGCTCACCCCAATCTCCAACCCCCCAATACCGAGTTCCCCGGGTGCTTACCAGCTGCGGGAAGATGGGCAGATCCGCGGCGTAAGGAAGGAAAGCGCCGTAGCCTTGTGCAGCGGCCGCGGCTGCTGCCGCTGCGGCGTAGGGCGCCCCGTATACCGACGAGAGCACGTTAGACAGGGACCCCGAGGCGGCCAGCTCCGAGGCTCCGGCTCCCGGGCCGCCCCGGGCCCCAGCGCTGCCGCCGCCGCCTCCGGCAGTTCCCGGGCGATCGGGTGGGTAGAGCGGGCGGATGTACTGGTATCCGAGCTGCGGGAAGGACATGGTGGCCCGCGGGGCTAGGACGGAGAGGGGGCCCGGCCCCCGGGGCCGCCCTGCTCAGCGCCGCCCGCGGGCTCCGGCGCGCATCGGGGGCTGGGCCGGGCTAGGGCCGCGCTGCCTCCCGCGCTGCGCAGCACTCCGCGTTCGCCTATTGATCTGCTCCGCGGCGGCGGCGGCGGCGGCGGCGGCGGCGGCGGCGAGGAGCCAGGTCAGGTCCGAACAGATTGGCGGAGATTCCCGGTGCTCCGGGCTCTGATTGACATTTCTACGGGCCCGCAAGCCCCTCCTCTCTGCGCCGCGCTCCCTCCTCTTCGCAGCCGGAGCAGCTTCTGCCCGCACCTCCTTCCTCTCTGCCCTCCTCTCCCCGAGCAGTGTCGCGCCTCGCTTCCTTCGTCCTCCTCTAGTTTTCACTCCCCCTCCTCGCCCTTCCTCTCCCCTCCCTCTCTGAGCTCCTCTTCCCCCCTGGATCGCTTCCGCTCTTTCGGGCTCTTTCACTCTCTCGGACACTAGGAAACTCTTGTCTCGCCTTCTCTTTCCCTTTCTCACTATTCCTTTTCCTCCCCTTTTTGTTGCCTTCACTCTTTCTTCTCTCCGTTTTTACGTCTTTCTCTCTTAACACAACTCTCCCCTCACCCCGGCCTCGGCGCTCAGGGCTAAGGCGGCCTAAAGTTGTGCACACTTAGGGTGCTGTGCGGGGGGTGTGCGTCCGTAACTGTGTCTGTGCGTCCGTCCCGCCCTCACCCATTCCCTCGCCCTTCCCCAAATCTCGGGTCTGACGTTGCGCCCTCTTATTCGACTTTTCCTTGCGTGTCCTTCCTGAGTCTCCAATCGCCGGGGCGCCTTACAGGCGAGGCCGCCCACCCCCGAGGATACTGCGCGTCGGGCGGGGGCGGGAGGCCGGGCTCTGAGTCCCTTCCCGCCCCCTCCGGCCTGTGCCAGGAGGGGGAGCGAGAGGCGCGGGGATTGGGGTTAGTACTGGGTCAGCTCGCCCCTCCTCCCCTTCCCTCCGCCCCGGCGCGGGGCCTGGGTCGGGACCAGACCTTGGTCCAGCACAGGCTCTGAGGCTTCCCTCCGCCCGGGCCCCCTTTTAAGTCGCACCTCGACTCCGGGCCACTCTCAGCGGCGTGGGGAGGGAGCTAGGAGGGTGCGCAGGGGATGAGCGAGGGTGCGTTCTAGTCCAGTCTTCGAAGTCTATCTCATTGCGCGGGGACTCGAAGCAGCCCCTCACCCAAGAGTTGCAAACCCTGAAATTAGCCGCAATAACGCCGCCTCAGGGTCCGAGTGCGAATCCCTCATTAGAAATGGCGGGCTCGGCGGGAGGCCGAAGGGTGGACGCCTCGGTGAGGTGGTGGTGGTGGGGCTCCTGGGGAGGGGCAACATGAAAGTGGAGCCCGCTGGCGCCCCAAACTGGCGTGCGATGGGGGAGAAGCAGGGACCCGGGTGGCGGAGGTTCCGGGAATTTGCGGAGAGCGCTTGGAGAAGTTTGCATGTTGGAGTTTTCGGTCTATAGAGGCTCTTCGTTTCGCTACCCCTTCCTCTGCTCCCCTGTTTCCGCGCTAACCTGTTTTCTTTATGCAAGGATCTTCCCCCGCTCTCTGGTAGGAGTGGGAGGCAAGACTTTCAGTTTTATAGTGGGATATTTCCTAAACCAAACCTGAAATCCCAGTAGCCGGGCGCCCACCTTCACGGATTAGGGCATGCAGCCGCAAGCGGGATTGAAATTCCCGGAATTGCGGCGGCTCCTGGCTAAAAGCTTTAGGCCGCGGCTGCCACCGATTAACAGGTCAGGCCTGCAGCGGGGGCGCTCCAGGGACAACGGGGGGGGGGGGGGGCGGTGACTCTGCTGTGGAGTTGCCAGCCCCGGTCCGGGCGGAAACCGGTCTCTGCGCGCTGACTGATAGAGGAATTGAATCCGAATTCCACAAGAGAATCTCCGCCCCAGCTGTCTCTAGTCTCAGAGGCTCTAAGGAGCCCAGTCTGGGAATGAACTCTCCGGAGCATCCAGTTCTGACCCCATCCTCACTCTCCCGCCTCCTTCCACCAGTTTTGGCCCAGGTCCGCGGCTCCAGCAGGTGTGAACGCCGCGGGGAAATTTGGGGAGAAGACAAGGGAAAGCCTGGGGGCGACCAGGTTTGGGATTCGACTGGGAAACTGATGTGTGTTTCACACGGGGTCAAACTGCTTCCCTTATTCCCTCCCCACCTGCTCCTTTTTGGAGCCGGCATTGGCCTTAGTTGGAATCTCCCTGGGGGAAGAGGTATCTGGGAAAGCTCCGGCTTTGAAATATTTCCCCGGAGCCTGATTTCGTTTTCAGTTAAACCTTTCCGTGAAGTGGCATAGGTAATCATGAGCTCGCGAAAAATCTCGGGGTTCCAAAATTGAGGGTAACATTATTTGCTGGAGTGTTTCCTAGGTGTCAGACTTCGAGCCTCGACGGCCCTGAAATCCTAGAGTTTGCACAAAGTGGTTGCACCAGACCAGGGAGAAGCCAAAACCCAGATTCCAAGGTGGGGAAACTGGGGCTGCGCTCTAAGTGCCCGGATGAAACGCCAGCTACTTAACGCAGCTCTTCCAGAAAGAAAAGAGAAAACAATGAGCTCCAAAGATGCTTCTTACGCATTAACCAGCTATCGACCTGGCTGCGTCGGACTGCAGGAAGCTAGAAAGAGGCCAGGGAATTGGCGAGACTGTTCTCGGTGAACCAGTCACGCCAGCCCAGGGGCGCCCAGGGCCTAAGAGGGTGAACCTCCAGACCTAGACGCAGACCCAAGACCGCAATTAATTAGATGCTTCCAGGCGCTCCAGGTTCCAGCAGAAGCTGCCTCCCTGTTACCCTAAATTACGGCTGGGATTAGCCCTTCTTTAGCCCGGGCGATCCGCGCACCACGTCGGGACTCAGCGTCCTAGACAATCAAACCCCGACGTGGCGCTGGCTCCCCAACTCGACCGCGCCAGTAAATTCCAGCTCCACACTAAATTCGCGGGTCCGGATACAGCCAAGCCTTTTCCAGGGATTTTTAATACAAGAGATGGGGTTCACAGTTTCACACTCACATAAGGAAGAAAAGCAGGTGCATGGGGAGTTGATTTGGGAAAGGCATGCGCACACAAACACACCGCAAGCAAAAAAAAAAAAAAAAGCTTTTCTATCGTTCGCCTTCTTCCCCTGTTCCCAGCGCACAAAGCGCTTCGGAGGTGTTCTCTCAACGCGGCCCAGGGTGTGGGGAATGCTAGAAGAGGGTGGCTATATAGCACACGCTCTGGCACATAGAGCAGGGTTTGCCAGACTCAGACCTGGAGCCGCGGCCCGACGTGCGCTCAGGGCTCACGGCCCGCCAGGTTTAGGGGCTGCGCAGAGCACTGCATACAAGCCGCGAACTACCAGGGCCCCTTCCTGCCCCTCCTCGCCCAGTCCCACAGTGTGCGGCGTCCCCGTTGGGGGGCGCCTCTGCAGCCCCAGGTCTCCCCGCAGAGGCCCATCTTGCGTCCAGCCTTCCCAGAACCGCAGTCCCCGGGCTGCCTTGCAGACCGGCGATCCCTCCGTTTCCTGCAGACGCCGCGGCGCACGCTCCCTTCGCTCCCTCCCCCCGCGCTCGGGTTACAGGTTAATGAAATGCTCGTTTTCCTCAGTCATTTGTTTTGTTTTCCTGCAAAGTTCTGATAAGTAGCTAACCAACGAAGCTTGTAATTACAATCTTACAGAAACCGGGCCGATCTGTATATAAATCTCACCATCCAATTACAAGATGTAATAATTTTGCACTCAAGCTGGTAATGAGGTCTAATACTCGTGCATGCGATAATCCCCTCTGGATGCTGGCTTGATCAGATGTTGGCTTTGTAATTAGACGGGCAGAAAATCATTATTTCATGTTCAAATAGAAAATGAGGTTGGTGGGAAGTTAATTTCTCTCCGCTCTGTGAAGCGTAGACAAGAATTTAATGATTTAATTACAGTTGTAAGCCCTTTCCATGAGACTTAAATTGAGCTGAGAATATTTTTTTCTTCTCTCTCTCCTTTCCGCGTTCTCTCTCTCCGCTATTAACAGCCGCACGGACGCCGGAGTGCGTGGCCTGGCGTCCTCCCCGGGAGGAATTTGTATCAGGCCAGGAATCCGGACCCCGGGAATCCCAGGAGGCGCGGGTCGGCGGCTTCCAGAGCCGCCCTGGAACGGGCTGCCGCTCCCCGTCCGAAGCCAGGGCCTTCGAGCCTGTCTCTGGGTTCCGAAAAGCGTCGGGGAAACTTGGGGAGGAACTTTGCCAACTTCGCTCTCCGCGAGGGAGAAAACAGCCTGAATGGCCCCGGCAGTGGCGGGCCGCGGCGCGCGAGCGGGCCCCCAGCCAGGCCCCGGAACCCGCCGCGGGCCCGGGGAGCCGGAGGAGGTGCGCGGGGCTGGCCGGCGGGCTGCGTGCTCCCTGTGCCGCCCCGAACCAGGCCCGCGCCCTAGGGCTCCGAGCAGCCCGCGACGCGGCCTCAATGGCCTGAAAAACCTGGCGCTCGGCGCGCGTGATCTCCTTTTTCTGTACGTCTCCGGGATCATCCTTTCCTACCTGACTAGGGCAGTTCCACCCTCCCCCTCCTTTGTTTTTCTCCGCCCGTCTCTGTGTCTCCCACTTTCTATCTGTCCGATGTGTGGGTCATTCGTCTTCTCTTTCCTTCACTCCCTCGTTCCTCGTTTTATTTTTTTCCTCTGCATCCCTTTTTAGTTACTTTTCTCAGTTTTGCTCCTTCCCTCTTCCCTTGTTTTATGTCCCCCCTTTTCCTCTCTCTGGCTCTGTGCCAGTGTGCTTCTCCCTCACCCTCCTTTCTCGTTCTTTCTTTTCCTTCCACTCTTCCTTCCTCGATTTCTTGGGCTGTCTTTCAGGGTCTCCTCTGCGTGTGTTTTCTCTCTTCTTTTCCTCTCCAGGACCTCTCCCCGCCCCCCCGTGGATTTGTCTTCCCGGCGGCGCCCCCTCCTCATCCATCTCAGGAGATGAATATGTCGCCTTATTGGATGCCGTGGCCAGAGCCGGGTGAAGGGGCTCGGCCAGCCTAGCGCATTTAGTTCATGCATATTGAGGAGATGGTAATGAGCGCGTTTGCATTGTTGCATGGAAAGACTGCATTTCCTGCCGCAGTTCGGAGCAGGCGAGGGTGGTGCGGGCCCAGGGAAGCTGCGGTGGGCACCCAGCCTGGTGGCCGCAGCTGGCCCTCAACGGTACTTGGTTCCCCGGGGAGGAAGTGACCTCGCCAAAGGCCCGCTGCCTCCTTGGGCTTCTGCACAAAAGCCAGCCTCCCTACCCTCATTAAAGCCTCGTTACGGGAACCCCCGCCTCGCTCTAGACGGTTCCTGCGCGCCCCCAACCCTTGGGCCTCTGAGTCTCATTCCCTGCTGTTTTGAGGCCTGTGATGGAGGGCCATCAGGAAATTAGTGCCTGACAACGTCGTCTAATGGCAATAAATTGCGATTCCGAGTGACACATCGCAGGATCAAACACAGCCTTATTGTGTACTTGCTCCGCTCACTCCACCTTAATCTTAATCGTGGAGGACGCATTGGCATGGCCGGCCCCTCAGCTGCCAGGCGGGAGCCCACTTCTGTCTGAGCCCAGATGGACAGGACTGACCTGGAGGACCCAGCCATCTAGAGTGGCATGTTGCTCCCTGAGAACATCCTCAGCGCCAAGAGGCAGGACCCAGGCATGGCTCTCAAAGAGGTGAAGGTTTATGAAAGTCAGGAGCTCAGAGGGAACTGACCACATACTGCTTGCTGGAAAACCAGGAGGGCGTGGAGACACCACTCTAGACACAGTGGAGTAAGGGACATCAGACATTTGTATTACTCCCTCTATTCTCTTTCAACTTCATGCTAAGAAAGTTGAGAGTTCTTAGTTCAAAAGCAAAAAATGTCAAGATCTGGCCTTGTCTGGAATTGTGTAGTGTCAAGTTTCCCAAACTTCAAGCTCTCTGCTACCACCTCAACTATAATTTACTTACCATTTTTCCTTAAGTTGACTCATTTTTAATGCTTAAATACATGTTTTTTGGAAAGAAAAGTTGGTACTACTGTAAATGGAAAAGTAGCTATTACACACCATAAAGCGAAATTGTAAAAGATAAAAACAACTAAAACCAAGCGGCGGTAAAACATTTTAGCATGCCACTTGCTTGGAAGTGACTTCTACCTCCTCTATCCTGTGTGTTGTGTGTAGCTTAGCAAGTGTTGGAAGTGTTAAACACCAAATCTTTCTTAGAAGAAATGGGAGAATTGAACAGGGAATGCTTCTCACTATTCAATACTGTTAATTTATTCTGTCTCCACTCTACCTAAAATCATGTTGAGGACTCTAAAAGCTGAAGTGGTTTAGGCTTTACCAAGGTCATTCTCTGCTGAAGAGTATGTAAAGAATTTAAGATAAATGTGTTGAATGGTTAGTATTTACCAAATGTAATTGTGTTAAACATTTTCAAACAGTATCACATTTAATTCTCCTAATAGGTCTACAAGGAAGAGACTACCCAGGGTGGCCCTGTATGGTTGTGTGGGATGCTTACTGAACAAGAGCACCCAGCTAAGGGACTAAGAGGGTCTGAAGTCCAGTCCTTATATGCTCATCAGGTTGGGTACCTTGTCTTGGGACTGTAGTAGAGGAAAAGTACTTTTTGTCTCATTTGTGAAAAGTTAGGATATCACCCAGCCCTTACCTTAGAGATGGGGAAACTGAGGCTCAGCTTGGTAAAGCCTAGTCTGGAAACCCATCTGATATTTCTAACTATGATTCCTTTGGGAAAAAGATTACAGTCTTTGGGGGGATTTGTGGAGGTGGTGCAGGGGGTTGGGGCAGGCCATAAGACTTGTCCCTAATTTGACTGAAGGAAAAGGGCAATCAGGCTGTTGGGCTTTCCTTCCCCTTAATCCTCACACTTCAGGCAACTATTTGAAGAGTGCCTGGGCAATACAAATACTACTGAGGTCAAGGATCCATTATCCCTGCTAGGGCCCAGTTGGGGGAGGGGGAGAAGGTGTGCTGGTTTGCTGAGGCCTAGCTGTGGCTGTTTGGACCTATTCCTCGCCTTTTTGGATTCACTTAACCTGCCTGAGTTTATAGACCAGAGTTCTGCCTTGTTCCCATCCACAGTTTGGAAACTTCAGATTCTTAAAGACAAACTGAGAAATTACATTGCACCGGAGCTTGTGAATCATGTGTTACATCTGGAGGCATTTATTTTAGTGCAGGATGGGGGTGGCCTCCATAGTTTTTAAAGATTGAATTGCTTGCCAGAACTTACTAATTAGATAATTTTATTTAAAAACCTAGATCTCAGAGTTTATTTGAAAAAATGGGAAGGCTAGAAATACAACACTCTCCTTTATGAGCATAATCACCTGGAGTTCATGGCTGCTGCCCATTTACCTGGACACACCCCAGATTACTCCAGTGCCCAACTGACCCACTTCTCTTAATTACTTGTAGGCAGCTGAGTGTTAATGCTGGTTTGCAACCTCAGTAGCGAGAATGAGAGACCCTTGAAGGTAGACATTGCTTCTCCAGTGTGAATAAAATGGCACAGAGTATGACCTCAGCAGGAATTGCAAGAATCTCTTCTTTTCTTTGCTCTCTCCCAGTCTCCTGGTTAGCTGGACAGCTGCTTTTCCATGGTGGGGTAAGGTGGAAGGCAGGTTTCTAGGAACCATGGGAATGAATAGCTTTGAGAGGTTGGCCAGGAGCGTCAGCTGGGCCTATTCTAAAGCTTCTGGGAAGAGAATAGAAAGGCTGGCCCCCAAACAGCCATTAGTAGGAAACCCCCACTCTCTTAATTTCCCCTCCCTAGCTTCAGCTCTTTCCTGATTCTCATTATCATCTTAAAAATGTCAAATGAGAAAGTCTGCTTCTTCCCTCCTTTTTCCCCTCTCTTGCTTTGTTTTTGATATATATATATGTATATTCCTGAGTGCATTCTATGTGCTGGGAACTGTGCTAAGTGCTAGAGATAGGACAAAAAGCTAGACAGACCAGGGTGCTGTTCTCCACGAGCTTCCATTTTGGTGGGGCAATTAGATATTAAACAGGAAAATAAGCGGAACAAATGCAGATAGCATTAAAGTCTACACAACAACACACCAATAATACTGGGTGTATGTACCCTGTTGGATAGTGTCTTCCCCATATTTGTGTCTTTCCCAGAACCTCAGAATACGAACTTATTTGAAAATAGGGCTATTGCAGATGCAATTAGTTAATATGAAACTTACACTGGGATTTCACCTCCTACTGGAGTAGGGTGGGCCCTTAATCCAGTAAGACTAGTGTTCTTATAAGAAGAGGATAAAAGACACAGAGGTAGACATAGAGGGGAGAAGGTGATGTGAAGTGAGAGGCAGAGATAGGAGTGATACATCTACAAGCCAAGGAATGCCAAGATTGCAGGCCATCACCAGAAGTTGGAAAGAGGCGAGAAAGAATTCTCCCCTACAGCCTTCAGAGAAAGCATAGCCCTGTTGTCACCCTGATTTCAGACATCCAATCAGAACCATGGGAGAGGAAGTTTCTGTTGTTTTAAGCCACCTAGTTTGTGATAATTTGTTATAGCAACCAAAGGTAACTAATGTACAGTTTCTTAGTTTCTTATTAATAATTATTATTAATATATAGGTAATGTGATGGGAGTAAGAGAGCTGTTACTTTAGATAGAACAATCACAAGTTTGTGAGGAGGTGTTTTAGCTGAGTTGGAACCAATCATGAAAAATCTGGGGCAAGTATATTTCAAAGCTGTTCTGTCTAATACAGTAGCCACTAGCCGCATATGGCTGTGGAACACTTGAAATGCAACTAGTCCACATTGAGATATGGAGAAAGTGTAAAATACACACCAGATTTCAAAGACATAGTATGAAAAGAAAAGGATGTAAAATATCTCATTCATTTTTTAATATTGATTGCATGTTGGAATGATAATATTTTGGATATATGGAGTTAAAGAATATTAGAATTAACTTCACCTGTTTCTTTTTACCTTTCTAAATGTGGGTACTATAAAATTTTTAACTACATTTGTGGCTCACATCATATTTCTATTGCATGGTTGTGTTGTTCTAAACAGGAGGAGCAGCATGTGTGAAGGCCCAGTGGCAGAGAAAGAGCTTCATGTGTTCAGTAGTTTGTACTCAACTTGCATATTGATATTTATTTGGTGATGTTGCTAAACCTGGGGAGCTGATCTGGGAAACCCTTTTAAACTTACAAGGAATGAATATATGAGTTTTTGTCCCTTTATCTCCTCAGTGGAGAACAAGGGCATTAAATTCAGTCTTTCAGCCTGATGCCTCCTTCCTACTTTCCAGACACATGTGCTCCCTTAAGCCCAAACTCTGTCCATCTTTTCTGCTTGGTATGTCCATCTCACCCTTTCCCAACTCTTTTGTTAGCTAGGACTTGGAGCTAGGCCTAGCTCCATAAGCTACCTTGTCTGCTGATGGCTGGCACCAAGACCATGATATCATGGTGTAGAGCAGAGACCCCCATGCCCCAAACCTACAGACTGCAAAGTGAACTTCAATGACCATATTAGTTCATCTATTAAGATGGAATTTTGTTCTAAGGCAGAGGTCACAAAATGGTGTCCTGGGGCTAATAGCAGCATGCTTTGATCATCTTACATAGTTAACAATTCTTTTTAGGTTTGGTTGTTGTATCAGTCAGGTTAGGCTGGGCTTTGCTGCAGTAACAAACAGTCCTCAAGCCTAAATCGCTGATAGTCACCCACTCTACATGTTATTGGTTATGGCTCTAACGCACAACATCTTCACTCCAGGACCCAAGGTGACAGGGAAGCTTCCATTGAGAGTGTTGTTGCATGCCATGACAGAGATCAAGAGACCACAGTGAATCACATACTGACTCTTGAAGCTTCTACTTGTGACGCATTACTTCTGCTCACATTTAACTGGCCAGAGCAATCATGTGGCCAAGCTTGAGTTCAAGAAGACAAGCCTGAATATGCCTTCTGCAGGGAGGGCCATTCTGTGGGATACCTCTTTTGTGCCACTTCAAATCCCTTGAGCCCTATCCTGTTCCAGCTACTGTCTCAGCACACTTGAGCAGGTCCAGCCTCATGGGCCCCACTGTGGACCTCTTGCTTCTCTGATGAATGGGTCTGGAATACCAGCAGGAACCTGTCAGCATCCATACACATGCCATTTGGAAGTTCAGGGGCATTAACACCTGGGGAGCCATACCTGACCAAAGGGGAGGGAACTGATGGATTAATGTTTCTCCTTTCATTCTCAGAACCAGCAGCTCCCAGATGCATGCCATAGGCCCCTCAGAATGGCCTGGCAGCATCTGGCACCATAGCAGAGGTCAGCCCAGGAGCACATCTCTGTGTGGTTTCCCTCCTCCACCCTTTCACTGCTTGGTCTTGCACTCGCTCCCTGGGACCATTTCCCATATAAACTACCTGCACATAGGCCTTTGCCTCAGGACCTGAGATCAGGAGAAACTAAGCTGAGACAGACAGAGAATGAGGTGAACAGACACAATCCCTCACCAGTGTCCATATTGAAAATGAGGAGATTTAATGTAAATCCCAATTCTAAACTTTTCTTGACAAATCAGTCCTGGCAGCACTGGGCCCCAGTTCTGGCAGGTCCACAATAGCTGGACTTGAATTGGGGTAGTAACTCCCCTGAGATGGGACCCAAGTTGTCTGCTGAGCACATTCGCTATGCGAGGAGGAGAGTCCTCACTTTTTCATGCTGCCTGACTGAGTTTAGTAGGCATTTGGGCTCTTTGATTTCTTGTGGGGACTGTTGTTTGAGGTGGGTAGATATCTATGAGTTCTTAGAAATCTCTTTTATTATACAGGGATTTTTCTCTTTTTTTCTTCTTCTTATTTTGTTTGTCTTTCTTTTATTATAAAAGGGTCAGTTTTAAGAAAACTTTATCTTGGCAGTGCCAGGAGGGCAGGTGTGTCTTGTCTCCAGTGTTTTCTCAGTGTTCACGCCTGAGCATAAGGTAGACTAGGTACAGAAAGAATGTTTGTTGAATGAATGACAAGGTGAATGACCATGGCAGCCAGCCTCCAAGGATCCCTGGCTCCTGGTATTCATGTCCTTGTGAAGTCCCTCCCTTTGAGTATGGGCTGGACATCCTGATTCACTTCCACTGAGTAAAATACCACAAAGGTGATGGGATGCCACTTTTGAGATTTAGTTATAAAAGACTGTGGCTTCCACCTCAGGTACTTTCTGACTCTCTCACACTGCCAGCTGCCATGTTGTGAGGACACTCAGACAACTTGTGGAGGCCCACAAGGGACGAGCAAGGGACAGGCACACCAGCAACCAGGTAGATAAGCTTAGAAGCAGATTCTCCAGTCTCAGCTGAGTTGTCAGGTAACTGTAGTCCTGGCCAACCACCTGATGGCCACCTCGTGGGAAACCCTGAGCCAGAGGCACACAACTAAGCTGCACCTGGAATCCTGACTCACAGAAGCTGTGGAAGAATGAATGTTGTTTGAAGCCAGAAGTCAGCAAACTACAACCTGTGGGCTGGTCACCTGTTTTTGTAAATAAGTTTTATTGGAACCCAGGAATGCCCATTAGTATACATATTGGCTATGGCTGCTTTCATGCTCTCATAGCACAGCAATAGCTGCTGAGTGGTTGCAGTGGAGACCATACATCCCACAAGTCTAAACTATTTACCACCTTTAAGGATATAGTTACTGGCCTTTTAAGGAAAAGTTTGCTGATCCCTGTTTTAAGCCACTATGTTTTAGAATAATTGTTACATAGTCACAGATAACGAATGTAATGACTTTCTGATCTAGAACAATGGGCCTCAGTGGGCTTGTATGTCTTGGAATAGGGCTTCTGATTTCAGTTTAGCTCAATTGAACAGGTATTAACTGAGCATTGACTGTGTACCAGGCTCAGTTTCAATCATCCAGAATACTACACTCATTCCTTTATCTATTGCTGCCTCAGGCACTCCTAGGACTATGGCACACTATAGGGGGTAGCAAATGTTTGTGGATTTAAATAGGCTTTTAGAGATTGGAATTAGCATGACATTCTTTGGAATACAATGGAGAACTTTGCAGGGAGGTAAGCAGGGAGCAGGCAGATAGTCAGCTGTATGTGCACACATAGTTGGTTATTAAAATATGAAACATTCCTGCTACCTTACCCTGAGCTTCCCAGGGCTCTCCTGCTGCCCTCACTGTCCCCACCTTCTTCCTGGCCCAATGATCCAGCAGCCATGGCACAGCAGGGACCCCCTGAGCTTCTGAGGTCCACTCCGATTGGTCAGTTGCCATGTCATGCCAGGGACTGCATATCTGTATGTGACCCCAGGACAAACTCTTGACCTATAACTGCTCCCCAACCCCTCCACCTTAGTTTGGAGCATGGAAGAGAAAGGCAAATCATATTCTTTTGAAAAGTAAAATTGCTCTCCAGGGCCTGACCTTGGGCCTGGGCCAGAAAAGGTGTTCAGCAGTGTTTTCACATGATAGAATTCATAGTTGACTGTTGAACTCTTGCCCCCTTCTGGGGTGAACAAGGGAGAGGATGCAAAGAGGAGTAAGATGAGGGTCCTGGCCTCGAGGAGGGGGTAGTCAAATCTAACTGGGCAGGAAGGTATGTAGTCAGACCTTCTGGGTTGAAATCCAGCCCTACTTCTGATCTTTGGCAAGCAATTCAGTGCTCCATGCCTCAGGTTCCTCATCTGTAACAATAGCATTCTAGTGAGGATAAGCAAACATATGTAAAATGCTAAGAATAATAACATGTACCTAGTAGGCACTCAGTCAGTGTTAGAAAAAATGATTAAATTCCGGGGGTCAGAAGAATAAGCTCTGAGGAGGTCATGATAATGGCAAGATGTATATTCAGTAAGTGTTGTTGTTCAATCTCTGACCAGGTTCCTGTGCACAAAGACAGGGCTGGCTTCATGGGCATGTGACCTGTGCACAGCACCTGAGGCTTAGCAGCACCCACTTGGTCTAAAGGGTTATACTGCTCTTGCCATCTTGAAATTCTTAAATAACTTTTGAACAAAGGGTCTGCATTTTCGTTTTGTACTGAGCCATGAAGAATATGTAACTGATGTGCACACAGAGGTGAATAAGACGGAGTTCATTCCTCAGGAGCCTTGCAGGCCTGCTCAGTGGGCAGATGGGTCCGCCATAATTACATTACAGACCTACGTGCATTCCGGTGGAGTGTCGAGCCACACGTGTGCTCCATGCATCCTAGCTGGATGAAAGCTGCCACAAAGACCTGCTTGCAGCTGCAAAGGAAAGCACAGCAAAAGCCAAGCCCACCCTATACCCAGAGATGAAAACCAGCAAAGAATTCAGGTCCCATGACGCACCTGTTAAGGGAATGCTGCTTGGATTTATTTTCTGCAAGAGGAATAAGGTCTTGAATTCTGAAATATTTTTGAAACCTTTGGAAAATCCCACTTTAATCACTGATGACAGTTTGACATTTTTCCAGCTGTTTAGAAGCAGTAGACAAGTCAAGTTGCTCGGCAGGGCACAGGCTGGCATGCTGGGATATGTGTGGGCTCTAACCTCCCTC